AGAGTGTGTTTGCAACATAAGTTATGTGATGATGAGTATATCGAATCACTAGTTCAAAACTTATTGGGGTTGGACGAATTAAAATTGGACGTCCTAGATAGATTGCAAGTTCAAAAACAAAGGATGGCTAAATTTTATAATAAAAAAGTTATAGCCAAGTTATTTAGCCTGGGCGAATTGGTTTGGAAAACAATACTCCTCTTGGATAGCAAAAATCCAAAATATGACAAGTGGTCGCCCAATTGGGAAGAGCCATATAAAGTAAATAATGTGTTGCCTAATGGAACCTATCATTTGGAAGATTTAGATGGCACCAAGCACATAAGGTTCATTAATGGCAAATATTTAAAAAAATATGTTCTTTCCTTATGGGAAAGTGAACAAATAAAAATGTAATCAAATTGCGTTGAACGATCGTATATAAAAAGGGCCAGAACGAAATACGTTCAAATAAATTCCTTTATTATCAAACATTCATTACAAATTGCGAGATACAAAATACTAAATGCTCTATAAGCTACAATTGAGAGCAAACTAATCTCTCGGTCGATCGCAAAGTAAGAGGGTGAACTGGCACTGATTGCCGTCCTGATCGCACTACTGCAAAGGCGAGCAGAGAGGTCGAGAAGCACTCTCAGCAAGCAGAACGGAAGAGAAGCACCCTCACATCACCTACCTAAATGCATCGTTACAATAACAGGTAAGGAGACTGAGAAACACTCTCAGCAAACAAAGTGGCTTGACAGGCATCCTCAAAAATTACCTTCCATCATTGAGCTCTTTGTAAAGAACATGGAGACGATGGGAAGAACTTCGCTGGTCAAAGAATATTTTCTATATCTCCCTTGTTTGGGCGTGATTAAAATGAGATTATGGAGAAAATTATATTTTGGAATATTGATTTTTTGAAAAATTTACAGTTAAAACTAAAGAAATTTTTGAATTTATGTGTCACATTATTTTATGAGAGAATGCATTTTTAAAAAAAAAATGTATTTTTTTTTTTTAAAAAATGAAGCCTAAATAGGAATCAAGCTTGTATTTAACAACCATTATTATGAAAAAAATATATATGTGTTTTGAATAGTGTTTTTTAGAAGAATATATAATTAAAAAGTAGAACAAAATATTGGATTGATGTGTAAAATATTTTATTGTGTGATGTGATTGAAAAAAGAGTATAACTAAAAAAAAAAATGAAAAAAAAAATTACTTTCAAATATTTTTTGTCAAACAGGTGCAATGCTATATTGACAATAGTAAAACCCAAATTTGAGCCTCATATAAAAGTGCTTCATTAGCTACGGTCTCATAAGATTAGATTGGTTGTATTCTCGACTTAATCTAGCACGTAGTGTAGAATTATTTACTATAATAAAAATAATATGTTGATAAAGAATTGCGGAAGGTGGTGGTCATAAGAGAAGATTGCCCTCCCGATAAGAAGGGGGGAAGAGGCTCAAAATAGGGCGTGATAGAGACATGGATAAACACTTACCTTGTAACAACCTACCGGTGAAATAGCTATTATGAGGGAACCGCTGCCCTCACTCAGTTCGAATCTTGAAATCTCGATCTGGAAATTTAAAAATCACAATATTGTTACAAAACAAGAAGCAAGGGTTACTGGCTAGTTATTTCAAAAGTTCCCAAACTTCTTGTCAAATTGGAGAAATTTGCTAATTTGCATAACTTTTGGGATCAAATTCGTAGCAAGTCTAAATATTACGGGTCAAAGTGAAAATTACTCCTCAAAAATTGCCAGTGCAAATCGTACCTCTTCCGGCCATTCTGGCCTAATTTGCCTAATTTTTTACCTAACCCTCCACACCACCTGCATTTAATTGAATCTGCTTGTTTTTACCTAAATCAAACGAAGTTAACCATTGAAACTGCAGATTCTGCTTTGTAAATCTATGGCTTTGTGCACTTCATCTTTCCTCGAACCGCAATTTTCAATCCCCAAAATCCCTGATTTTCATTATCTTTTCCCCACCACATCTGCTCGTAGAAGAAGAAGTGGAACAAAGAGAATCGGAGCTTTGAATTTGTCCATGGCCACTGCAAATGCAGCTAAAAATGTCAGTGATAATAAACCCACAAAGTTGGTCACTTTCTTGGGTAAAGGTGGCTCTGGAAAAACCACTGCTGCTATTTTTGCAGCTCAGGTATTGATACAATACACAGTCTCACACTGTGCTCTAAATAATTTCAGTTAAATTTTCAGTTTCGCTGGTTAAACCTTTTGTTGATTATTTGCTTGGATTGGATGAATGGTAGTTTTTTATGTGTTTGAAGACATAATAATTTATTGTTGTTCATTTTGAACTGCTTTACAAAAGTTAAAAGTGCTTTTATCTTACATGTAGAAGATCGGCAGCCTCAGTGCTCAATTATAAAATTGGTCATAATAATGATGATAACACCAAAATTAACACGCAAGAAGGAAATCATGAAAATGGAAAACTAGTGGGGAACTACTGGGCCTTCAGCTACCAAATGGAAAAAAAAAAATCCAATTCAGTTTTTTTATCAGAATTGACTGAAAGGATACCAAGAGTAGAAAATGAATGATAGAGTGAAATTAGAATCTGGGGGTTATTTGTTGAACAGAACATAATTTCAGTGCAAAGAGGAATTTGGATGATTTTCAAAATTATGGTGAGGTGCATAATCTTTCAAAAAGTTTATTTTTAAAGTAAGGATGGATCACATCACATTATCTATCCATGGAGAAGCCCATCCCCACGCACAAAACTGGGTCTCCTCATGGGGGAGAAAGGATAAAAAAAATGGGGTGCAAGATACTATAATGTTTGTAGTGTATTTGTTTAGCACTTACATTATCACTCGAACTTCTGAAGCTGGATTGTTCTTTTTGTTTTCTTTTTCTTCCTCTGATAATGAGGGGGACACTGAGATACAATGTCACAACCAGCTATATAGAGTTTTCATATTCCTGTACTAGAATGAAATTGCTTTCTCGGTTTTTATTTTAACGAGTATGATATCCTCATTGTTATTATTTTTTTTGGTGCTCAGCATTATGCTATGTCAGGGCTCAAGACGTGTTTGGCAATACATTCTCAAGATCCTACAGCTGAATATCTTCTGAGCTGTAAGATTGGACCATCTGTTGTCAAATGCAACAACAATCTCTCAGCCATTAGATTGGATACCACAAGAGTGCGCTTACCTTTTCTTTCCTTTGTTTTATGTAAGTCGGAATGAGGTGTCCAGTTAAGCTGAATTTGACTTGTGATGTTTATTTTCAACAGATGCTCCTTGAACCTCTTAAAAGGCTCAAGCAAGCTGATGCCCGTCTGAACATGACCCAAGGTGTTTTGGAAGGGGTGGGTATGTAACAACGTTTCAAATCATTTATGTACATCGAATTCTCAAATTTCACATTTTCTGTCATATTCTCATGCATATCTCTTCAACATGTAGTAGGTGGTAGGGGAAGAGCTTGGTGTACTTCCTGGCATGGATTCTATATTTACAGTTTTGGAACTTGAGCGACTTGTAGGATTCTTTATCAATGCCATTCAGAGGAATGGCGATAGAGATAAGTTTGACGTAGTTGTATATGATGGTACAAGTACTGAAGAAACAATACGTATGATAGGTGCAACCAGTAAAGCCAGGTTAGTGGTTTGTTAGTTCCCCACTCGCTCCTCTCCTTTCTTTCCCTTCACTTGCTTATACCTGTTTGTCATTGTTCATTACACAGATTATACTTGAAATATATGAGGACTCTGGCTGAAAAGACTGATCTAGGGAGGGTAGTTGGTCCTTCTATCCTGAGACTTGTGGACGAATCCTTGAGTCTAAGTGGCAAGGGTACCAATCTTAATGGGAGAATGACTCCAGAAATATGGGATTATCTAGAACAAGCATTAGAGGTAAGTACTATTTGTAGTTTGAATTTTCTGGTCATCGGTGTATTTCTTACTGCTAAAAGTTTCCTTATCATTGTGCTACAGAAAGGATCTTCTGTGTTCGCAGAACCTCAGAGATTTAGCTGCTATATTGTGATGGATCCGACAAACCTGTTATCTCTAAATTCTGCATTGCGGTACTGGGGATGCACAATTCAAGCTGGTGCACAAATTTCTGGTGCATTTGGCATTGCGTCACCAAATGGTCCTGAGGCACTAACCGAGATTGGAAAAAACTTTTCACCTTTGCCTTGTGCACTCATTCCATATCTCGAAGTGTTTAAGGATCTAAACTGGAATGAGATCATGGTGAGTGTACGTAGTAAAGATGCACGAGATCTTCTATCATTGTCAACCAGCGAGAGCTTACCATCAGTCAAATTTGATCCATCCAATAAATCCATGACGCTTTTCATGCCAGGTTTTGACAAGTCAGAAATCAAACTTTACCAAGTATGTCATCAATTTATTTATACTTCTGTGTTTGACTAATGAAGTTTCTTAGAGAGGGATATAATAGAAGAAGAGAAAAAAATCGTGAGACTCAAGTCGTCTGGTGAACTGTAGCGTACAGGAAATACGTGGACGAATGAAGCATTCTTGAACAAAACTTGATAAAGTGTCGTTTGGGCATACTGGATTTAATTTCTTGTATTTGTACCATGGCTAACAAATTAAGATGATTCATAATTTGTCAATTGTGATACTTGCAGTTTAGAGGTGGGTCGGAGTTGCTGGTTGAAGCAGGTGATCAAAGGCGTGTCATTCGACTGCCATCAAAAATCCAAGGGAAGGTAGGAGGAGCTAAGTTTATAGACAAGAGTCTTATAATCACAATGCGATAGAGAACACATTTTTCTTTCTTTCGTTCTGGGGGAAGAATCCCATCTTTCTGTTAAACAAGATATGCACTTAATGAAATAATCTTTTCCAGTTGCTCCCTGCAAAAATTTTTCACGTGCATTGCTCCTATCTCCCTATATATTGCTCGGATGAATGATGAACATTTCCCAGCGGGTATTAAGAGAGAGAAGGAATAGGAATTGATCAAAAGATTTCTCAAAACAAATAAAAATGTTGGGGCTGGACTCAAACTTCTTGATTAAAGCATTTTGGTACAACCTTAAATTACACTTATTCTGATCTGTATAAGTGTGCATTTTTCCCTAATCAAATGTTGATTCTACCAGTTTCAGTATATATTGTTACACACATAAGGATGAAATAATGTACAAGTAGAAACTAGATATCTCCCAAAAAAATAAAAAAAAAAGAATCATTCTTCCAGTTTATTCTCTTCTCCTGTTTTCGCGTGAGCTCGACTTCTTAGTTCTTCAAAAGCTTTCATGCTTTCTGCATCAAACCCTCCCGCAAACTGACACAAGTTTAATTGAATTCTCATTAGTACGTTTATTTCCATTAAATTAAAGGTCGACCATAAATTACTTCTCTCATTTGTAATAATCTAGACGCACCTGATGAACACGGAAAGCAAATCGGACACCTTGAAGAATTAAAAACTCTCTGTTAGGTTCCTTCTCTGGTTCATGCATGGCATCAAGCTCTGATGCCACACGTTTCATGTATTTTCGTGCCAATTGTACTGATGAAACCTTGATCTGCAAATAGATGGCCAAGTTGCATGGACAGTTATTACCTTGCAGTTAATAGCAAGAAATATTACAAAATAGATGTTCTACATTTCATTCCAAAATCTAATATCACTTAAGTCAACATCACAGAAGAAAGCAGTGATGCGTTTTAACTTCAAACGTACCTTGCCAACTACTCCCGAATCAAGCAACCAATCAACAGGGATGCCAAATTCCTTATACCGTGAAACAGCCATGTCGCGTGTGCGCAACAGTGCATATACACTGTTCTCCACCCTGGTAAATGGGAAATTTTGAGTATTTCATAATCATTTAAGTTTTCAATAACTACATAAATTTCAGAACGATCACATTGTGCAAATTTGTAGAGCGGCAAATGAACAACTCTCATAAGAGCACTTAAACTGCCATTTTAAGTGACCATGTGCTTTATAATCTCTCCAGACTACTTAATCGCCAACTTTCCGAACAGCAGGCCCTGACTATAGGCTGCTGCATAAGGCCTCGTATAGGTGAGGGTCCCCATAATATTAATGCTTTTAATATTTATATGTATGGATAAACTCATAAAGTGAATATAAAATGTCTCATATAAAGTAGGCTTAAGCTCCCAAAATCTCAAGGCCGACCTTGTTAATCTAACTGAGATAACTTTCTCAAAGACACTTACTTCTCAAGCAACTTATACATCTTCTTCAAAGCAGCCTCACAAGGAAGATTCAGATCATCAACGAATGAGGTTACTAGCTTCTCTAATTTCATCAGGTCCTGGTATTCAAATGCTGCCTCTCTTAATGCATCTGCTTTACTTTCTGGCCAATCGAAGTGTTTAAGGACAGCTCGTTCATCAACCTTTAAGAGAAGATTAAGCAAATAAGATGTAAGAAAATTGCTTAACCGGCTACGAAGCAGTTAAGAACACTCATCTGGTTATATTTTAGCCTCTAGTAATTTGTGACTGCCCTAATTGATGGATTACTAATTTGAACAATTGATAGAAACACGTACTAAGAAGGAGAGTTCCTCATCAAGCCAGTTCACGAATGCTAGTAAATCTTTTATGTTGGTAAAGGAAGCTGCCCGGACTTCAGTAGCCAACGACTGAACAAAATCACCTTGAGTCTCCACGTCAGCTTTAACCTGGTTCAAGATTCCGAATTTTTCTTTCATTCTCAAAACTGAATAACTAGCAATACAAACAGAGTATTAGAAATAAAGCAGTTTGACTTACGGCTAAGAGGAATGATGATCTGTTTTCTATCTCCCCAATCATGTTACTCCTTGCATCTGAAGGGCTTGCTGTTGAAGAAATCAAAGATGGTGTATCCTTCTTCGCCTCACGTTTCATCAATGTCTGGTAGAATTCAACTAGTTCAGGAGCTCGGTGAACTTTGTCACCACTTCCAGCCAATCTTGAGAGACTTCCTGGTGGAGGTGGTGGGCGTGGAGGTCCACCAACAGGTGGAGGTTGTGGTGGGCCACCTGGCGGAGGAGGTGGTGGTGGTGGTGGCATACCTGGTGCTCCACTTGAAGTGTGTGTACTTTTTTCAGGAGGAGCACCTTCTGATGGTTTAGGAGGTGCTCGAGGGACCCTAGGAGGTCGCTTCTCAATATGTGCAAGTTTCATTTTGCTTACTGCAGTAGAATCAACTTTGTTATCATTAAACTGGTCACTTGAGTCACCAGAGGCAACTGATTTTTCTTTTATTAGAGCAAGGTTTGGAGGCAAAGTCACAGATTTATCTTTATCCACCTTCAAAGGGTCACCAAACCTCGCAGCTCTTGCTTGTTGAGCTTTTTCCTTGATTTGCTTCTCTCTTTCCAAAGCCAGCTTATGCCTATCTTTATATACAGGATACTTCTCTTCCAGAACTCCTTCAACTGATTTGGACATTAAGTGGAAAGAGGCTACAACAGAATTGAGTGAATCAGGAGAAGAATCTTGAACTTGACTAGGCTGTGGTTTTGGAGTTTCAGGGGAATTAAGGTCATCCTGTTCTCCCATCCCAAAACTAGTGATAGCCATGCTGTCACCTGCATTTCTTAGCATCAGGGCTTCAAGAGGACCTCTAGGTCTATAACTCATGCTACTCCTGCTGGGGGATCCTCCCCCGAGGGATCTTGCTGGGTAAGAATGTGCACTTGAATCATCTTTACTTTTTCCCCATTTCTTCAGCTTTTGGATTAAACTAGGCTTTTTACTGAGACTACTGAACCTGCTTGTGGAACTATCAATAGACATATTATCAAAATCCTCACTTCCAGGAGAGGATGGATGGGAGAAATTACTTTCAATATCAGTGTCTCCTTGTCCCCGTTCTGATCCTGCGTACTCTAACATCAGTTGTTTAGCCTTCTCTTGTGATCTTGGGCTCAAACTTTTATTGAGATCGCGAGCTGATATTTTTCCAGACGGTGGTTGGTAGTTCCGAAGCTCAAATCTTAAGCATGCGTTGACCCAGCGAAGATAAACAAGCTCTTCAACTTCAGTGAATCTGTTCATCTGAAGTCCTTCCACCTGTTTAACGAGATCCTCATTTGCATGTCGTAAGTTATTCACCTCTTCTCTCACTTTGGCAACCATTTCACTCTGCAGTAACAATATAACGAGGGCATGTCAGAAATTAATCTCTTTAATTGATTGGAGTTTAAATTAGTTCCCGTTTATCTACTTCTATCCGTGTGGGAAGGCAAAAAAGTCTGTACTCAGCTACCACATTTATTTTGTGTACAGCAGAAGCCGGGGTCTTGTATTTCTTTTAATGGGGGTTCTTGGTATCGTTTATGTACTAATTGACAGCATTATCAATCTGGTCAGTAGCTACCCCCTTGCACAATTCAATAGGTAAATCACTGCAACTCGAGATAAGATTCCTTAAAACTAGAAGTATATTCGTAAAGTATCAAATCAAAAAGTCAAAAGGGTTGTACTGCTGTATAATCAACACTAATTTGATGCAACAAATAACCATTGAAATCAGAAAAGAAAGTAACAAAAACACAACATATAACATATGCAAAATGGTATTGGGAAGTTATACCTCTGTCATATTGGAAAGGGCATTTACTTTTGCTTCAGCAGTATCTAATTTTACTATTAACTCTCTCTTTTCATGCTGGAGCTCTTTGTTCTTCCTCTTAAGTTCCATAACCTCCACCTCTAACTCCTTCAGATCTTTAAGCTTCTTCCCTACTTCAGCATCTTTCATAACTGCTTCCTCTTCCTTGGCTTGAAGTCCACTGACTTGTTGCTTAAGCAATAAAAGCTGGCCTTTAGTCTGGTTTGACTCAAGCTGAATTTGCCTTTGCAATTGCTTTAATTTCTTTCTCGCCCCCTCAAGGTCTTTCCTAGAAACGGCTCCCAAAGACACCTCCTCTTGAAGCTTTTTCCTCTCGGCTTGCAATGAATTTATCGTAATGTTGAGCATCTCAATCTCCATTGTCTTAATTTTAAGCTGCTTCTGTAATTCAGCAATATTTGATTCTTGCTCCATCAAGCCATAATATTCAAACAATTCTTCCTCAAGCTTCACCTCTCTCTCTTCTAACTCTTTTACTAAGTTGCGTAGTCTTTCCAGTTCACTTGCATTATTTGCCATCTCACTTTCATACACTTCATTTTTCTCTTCTCTGGAATCTGCTTCGGTATCATATTTGTCCACAGGCAGAGGAAAGTCAATTTCTCCTGATAAAAGATTTTCAAATTCTGGGAAAAGCTCATCTTCATTGTCAAATTGATTACTTAGGGCAGGGTTTATTATTCCATTAATTAATTTAACTTCCTCTTTCTCCTCTTCCTCAGCCTGCAATTCATGATCAAAGGAGAAATAAAATTGAACGAATTAATGGATCATTAAATCTACTTACACGAAATTAAAGTTCAAAGCGAAAGCGAAAGGAATTATTCTAGGGTGTTTCCAATACTTACAACCTCTTCTTTGAGGCCTTCATCAGAATAAGAAAACTGCTCTTTGTTATCCCCATGATTTGTAGATGCTTCATCATTTTCTGAATTACAAAATAACCAAGCAACCATTCAAAACTAAAATCAAGTTGAGAAAGCAACGCAGAGTTTAATCTTAACTAATTACTCGAGAGGGAATCGTTATCCATGATAAATTAGAAAATCCTTTAAACAACTTTATCATTAAAGTTATTCATATTCAAGGTTATATCTCATGCACATAAAAGTAACTTTATTCTTCAGTACAAACAAGAACTGATAACAGATAAACACGACTTAAAGAATAAAGTACCTGAAGGTTTAATTAAAGAAGATGACCTCGAGCTCCTGCTATTAGCCTGCTGAACTGCATAGGCTGCAATAGAAGCAGCAACCAAGAAGCCTAACCTGACTATCATCTACCTATTTTTGATAGAAAATACAGAATTTTCCGATCTTCTACTGAGACAAACGGAGTCTCAAATAGCCCTCCACTCATTTCTCTTTAACCCAAAGCTCATATTTCAGGCCATGAGTCCAATTAAATGCAACAGGACCAAGAATCCAAAAAATTTTAAGACCTGTCAAGCAACTCTTGGTTTAGTCCCTGAAGAAAAAATATCAAGCCAGGAAGCTCTTCAATGCTCAATTTAGGATAATTGTATTAATTATCCCAAGTGTAGAGCATTATTTTCTTATCAGGTATATAGACCATTCACAGAAAAAACTTGCTTTCTTACGAAGCTTCTCATAATTATAATTCTCTTACAACTGTCATATGAGAGCTACAGTAGCCACCAATTTCTTGTGGACAGTCTTTTTCCAAGGGGATTGAATTCCTTCGTATGGGTAGGTCTCAATTGTTAAATTCTTTACGCAGAAAAATGGACAGTTACAGATGCAGATACACAGAATGAAGAAAACTCTAGTAACAGTAATTTCAAAGAAAAAAAATATTCCCACGTGAGTTTTCTGCAAATAAATAAAAATAAAATTTCTCAAGTTTCATTTAGATAATGACAGTTTTGTTATTAGTAAAAATGAGGTAGGAAAACGTGTGTTATCTTTAATACCACACCCATCTATGGTTGGATACAGTTTCCTTTCGATTTATCCCTTGTGCATCTGTTATCCTGCTAAATGGCTGTCTTTCGTCCACGCAAATCCTCCAATAAATGAAACTTCTTTTCTTAGTTTGACAAAAACTTACCAGTCAAATCTACTAATCAAAACTAACCCCATGATTAGTCTTGATTTTTGCAGGACTATTTCTGCATAGCATGATGTCAATTCCTGTGATGTAAATGAGGGAGTAGGGGAAAATTACATGTACAAAAAAATAGCATTACAATTTTTGGGTGGCACAAGAATTAGAGGAAAGTAGTTAGTAGGTAGGATAAAAGGGTAAGTTGACATTTAATGCCTGGCTTTGCTTGGATGGACTGGAGCATATAGATAACTTTAGCCACAAGACAGTGGTGCAAAGGACGGGAGTGAGGTTATCTCACATTTGTTGACAGCCGTAGTATGGGAGTTCGATTTTTGAGACATGGAATTGGACTCATTGTAGGATCAGTGTACAGGTAGCTCTTGTTCCATGACCTGTTGGGACACATCCCGCGATTTACCTGTCTTACAAAACTCTAGAGGCGGGGCGGTGAAGACCCTCAAGGTTAGGGTTCAACTTTAACATAAACTTTATGCATTGTACCATATGATTTGACCTATTTGCCCAAGTAGAGGCCTCCTCATTATTGTCTGTTCTATTAAAACTTTGGGGTTATTCAGCTCAACATAAACATTTTTCCCTCTTTGCTTATATGTGACAAAAAGATGAAGCTGCAAAGTATGGCTCCTCGCATAAGAGCTCAGATACAATTAATGTTTTTCTTTCCTTTTTTTTGCAATAAGAACTTTTTATATTTTTCTAGAAAAATTTATTCAAGATTATTTCCCGAGCTCTTGCCTGTCAGGGATTAAGCTTAATCCCTCTTAACCGAGCAAAACTATCTAAAACGAAATCGAAATTACACAAAGCGAACACTGATTTTTTAGTTGTCACCTCAAAGTAAGAGCTATCTGACTATGTCCACCAAGTTTTCTCACGCCTCCGATACCCAGAAAGGACCACTCCCTAAAATCCATCACATTTATGGGCCAATTAATGAAATATACTGAAAACTAGAAATCAGTCAAATTCCTAGAAATGGGCACAAGCAAACCTTTTGCAAAGTGAACAGACAAACAGAGGTTCAAACTGAATACAATGTGGACTCTACCCGTCAACAGTGATGTTAAGTCGAAAAATCGTTAAGTTTCAAAAATGGATCGCTTTGCAGTAAAAATAGATTTGCAGAAAATTAAAAAACGAACATGAAAATATGTTTCGCCCTAAAGAGGGCCCGGATGTTCGGTCTTGCGACCTAATCACCCGTTGAACATCACCAAAGGTAATAAAGCTCAAGATCCACTAACTATCAACTAAGAACAGTACAACATGTATGAAGAAACCAAAGGTTTCTCCGAATATCCTTTCGCCTCTATTCAAAATTGTAATTCAACTCACTCTCAGTCGCTAACAGACTACACAACACAATCAGAAACCATCACTAAGATTACAGATTGAGAAATCACCAAGAACATATCAAATTACAGTAACCCAAGAACCTTAATCTATCACTCAGAGAAAAGGAGAGAGAAACGAAAGGTTGAAAGACTTCAAATCATCTAGAATTGGGGCCAAAACCAAGTATCTGATCAGTCAACCATTCAAGAGTGAAAGCAAAGCCACGTGTACGGCTGAACCTCAACCATTTAAGAGGCAAAGGCGTGTTTCTCTAAAACACGATTTACAACCCGAACTTAATTCCAACAGACCAAGCCCACAAGTCTCAATCTGGGCCAGCAAGAAATGGTGAGGCAACCCAACTAATATAACATGTGAGTAATTCAATGGAGGAATCTAATTCTCAAAACATGGGTCCAGCAGTTCAGGTCCCCCCCCCCCCCCCCCCCCACAAACCAAAAAAAACCC